TTTTTCCCCCCCCCCCCCCCCCCCCCCCCCCCCCCCCCCCCCCCTGGCCCACGGGCTGCAAAGGACAGCAAAAGCTGGCGGGCCTGCTTGTCCATGGACACATTCTTTTTCTCTTTCTTTCTTCTGAGATCGCTTTTTTTAGGTACAATCTCATTTCACGATGTCAATTTAGCTACTAACATACATGCTATTCAGGACAAACAAACGAGGTTTGGCGCTTGTGGCGCTCTTCAAACTTTCTGAGCACATGGGATTGTGCCTTGGGCGAACGTACAAACAAATGGAACATGGGTTCCTACAAGTCGCGCAACTGGCGAGGCGAGAGGGGTGACATGGTCGGCGAGAAGCCTGAAGGGCTGCCGGCGGGCGAGGCTGGCATGGATTGCCATGCGTACACGTGGACAGAGCGGTCAGTGGTTCGATCGACAATCAAGAAGAATGATGAGCAAGCAAGAGCAGGGGAGCGCGGCGCGAGGCATGACTCACGCGTGCGAGTACGTGCATTTCGGAAGCGCTGCTTCAAGGCGCGGGCCAAAATGGGCTGCAATTAGATGGGGCCAATCAAGCACAACATGATGAGGAGGCATGAGATTGAAGCATGCGTCGGGCTATGCTAAAGCGCCATCCATGAGCAGGCTAGCTGACCGTGAGACCCATGCCCGTCTCTTCAGGCTTTTGGCGTTTGGGTGTACCTCCGGGGGACCGATCAGTGGTGATACGGCGAAGGTTTTGACGCATCTGGAAAGCAAGCCGAAAAGACAAGTAAAATCATACAAAGTCAATGCAACATATCAGTGAGACAAGACGATTTGACAAGGCAGGTGAGGCCAGGGCTGAGAGCGCGCGCACAGATACGGCGTCTTTGATAAGGCGATGGCGTCATGGGCTGGGGGACCGGGCACTCGGTGGCGATGGAATAGCTTGACTCACGCTAATGACGTCGTTCAGCGATACCCCTCGGCCAGGTTGGGGTGAGGCAGTACCCGAATTAGTGTTCCCGCTGACCTTGCGCAGCGCCACACCCTTGATGGCTGAGAGAGAGATGCCATTGCTTTTTTGCGGCGAGTTGACGCGCTTGAGAGGGGAGGCCCGCCGCAAATTGGCGGCGCGCAATGCACTGGCCGTAATCATGGTCTACATGCACAGCCCAGCCCGAAAGCATTGTGAGGGGCGAGATCAAAGTTCATAACAATACTATTCGAGACAGCAAAGTCCATCAGGCGGACTGACCGATGATCGTGGCGCTGGGTGGCTGCCAACCGGGCCTCGTGGTGCTCCGTTTAAGCCGGCAGTTGGCATAGGCGGCGGTGGCGGCGGCGGCATGGGTGGCCCAGCCTGTTGTGCATTCTGTTGCATTGCCTTGGGCATGGGCATGGGCATGGGTGGCGGTGGCGGCGGAGCGGTGGGTACCGCAGCGGAAGTCAAAGGTGGCAATGCAGCTGGGCTGCCAAAGATACCCAGCATATTTGTTGCAGGTTGTGGTTTCAAGACTGCAGGATCCGATGTGGGTGCAAGTGCACTATCGGCCACAGCTGCGCTAAGGGCTCTGGCCGGGACAGACGGGGCAACAACAGCGGAGGAGGCAGAGGTAGTGGCCACGCTGACAGAGGGTTCGGATTTGCTCGTGCTTGGCTTGTCATCATACCACCACCAAGTCCCGGCCCAACGCTTTGAGCGAGGCGGTAACTTTTCTGCCTTGTGGGCTTTGGATTTGCGTGGTACAAGTTGAGTCTGGTTTGCGCAGCGAGCTGGGGCCAGGGGCGAGCAGGCCACCGTGGTTGTGCGAACGCGGGGCTTTGTTGGGCTGGAGAGGGGTATGGGTGAGAGTGCTACCGAGGCCGTGGTCGGCTTGGTGGAGCGCTCAACCACAGTGGGTTTGGGGGAAGCCGAGTGCTGCTGCAAATGCTCACGTTCGTGCTCCAACTTGGACGCAAGTCGACAAGCCTGCAGACGCCCCGGGGGCGTTTGAGTGAGAAGTGAAGGGCGGCAGGTGTGCGGAGGGTAGAGGTGGTGGTGGCTCACGCTGGCTGTGTGAGACATTTGTGCATGTGATGCTTACGTGGTGCAAGCGTTCCCGAGCTTCCTGCAGCTCGGTGCGCAACTCGCGCATCGCTACGCGATGTGGGAACATGTAATCAAGGGCGTCCTCCCCAAACTGAAGTAGTGGCAGTTGCATGCACCAGTGCGATGGTCAAGAGCAGCAGCACACGACGATGAATCGTTGCTGGCATGGATTGGGCTCAAGGCTGACTGTAAAAGGGCATCACTCAAGAACGGCCTTTGTTTGAAGCCTGATTGCACGTACCTGAGCCAATCGCTGCTGGCTGTGGGCCACAACCTGACGTGATGCCACGATCACCGAATCGGCGACGGCGGCGGTGGAAGACACCATCCGCTGTCGGGTCCGCTCAGCCATGTTCATGAGGGCAGTCTGCAATACTTTGCTCAAGCCCGGCGCAGCTGCTTGCTCAGGCTGCCGATAGTAGGCCACATCGCGCACTGTCTCACGCCTGTGAAAGCGGCGAAGGCGCTGGCGCTGAACGTGTCGACGCCTACGTTCTGCTTGGTTCGGCATGATTCAATTTGAATTT